TTCAAGCAAAAAATAGGGGAATTTATATCATGCAGGTAGTTTCCCTTGTAGTTAAACAACTTCTGCAAGACCGATGCAATTGCAAGTATCTACATCCTAACCCCAAGTAGTGTTGTTAGGGCTTTCTGGCATTCGGAAGAAATTCCCCAAAGTCCTGGTTTCAAGCTTTCAAGTAGAAAGTTTAATAAATGAATACTCTAGCTGTCACTTGGAGACTGGAACTGGGGTGTGTGTAATTCTCCCCATGGATTAGTAGGGTCAATAACAAGGATATTATAAAACTTCATGAGGGAACGAAGGATTTAAAAATTAAAAAATTAAAATAAAAAAAATAAAACTAAAAACAAGAATGAAACTTTTCAATTGAGGCAAATGTACCGAAGAGAAAAGCCAGCGAAAGCCTTTAAGAGAAAAAACCAAGAGGAAGCCTTAAAGACGAGCCAACTCAAATCTGCCCAACCAAGAGAGCTGCTTGCCGAGGAAAATTCTTTTATTCCTTTCCATCCAAATTTATGAAAAACTCACTTTAGCCGCATTTACCATAAAAGATCGGCCTTGGGCTTCAAGGAGAGCCAGTAAGTAAATGAAGAACGTATCCATGAAACTATTAGTGAAAATATACTTCGAGTATCTTTAATAGAGCCAATACATACTCGTGAGAGAATAACCAACAGATTAGGGAAATCAGGAAGCATCCCATCCTTTAAAAATCTGTGAGAGGTAATATGCAAAGAGAGAATGGTTGCATCCAATGAGAAGCCACTGAATCATTTGCAGTGGAAGAAATTTTAAATAACTGAGAATAACAAAGCTTCAGAGGAGAATTATTTAGCCATGAGTCATGCCAAGATAATATTATTCTTCCATTTCCCAATTTAAATGAGCAAGAGAACCCATAGATGCTGATTATATCTTTCCTCCAAAAAAGAGTGAGCAATAAAAGTCCAACTAGAGGAAGAGAACCCATAGAGGAGAATTCTTAGTTCTTATTCGGTAACATATTTCGAAAAAAAATATTTTTTGATTCTTATTGGATAAAATAGAAGTCCAACTACACAACCAGGTAAGAGCTAACTAGTGAAATAAGTATCAACGCATACTTATCTTATCGTAAGCAAAAAACAAGAACAAAAACAAAAACAAAACATTTTTCCAACCTTTAGATCACTGGAAGCAGCCCAAACTCGTAATAAAAGCTCAAAAGCAGAATTCAGAAATGACCTGCAATTTGACAGGAACCCGTTTCTTTGACAAAAATGTTAAATTGAAATATTGAATGTAGAGTGATAGAGCAAGATAGAAATTGTCTCACATGACATCACCATCAATTGACGAATGTGAAGGAAAGTCCACACTATGTTGCCAAGCAGCTTGACACCAACATTTAATTGCTGCAGAAGAAGAATGTGTCACAGGGTGGCAGCTAGAAGAGAAACTGAAGATACGCTAAAAAATCAACAGTTTTTCACAGGATTCATTAATTTGGCTAAAAGAACGACGACAATAATTGATGGTGAAAAATAAAATGAATGTCAAAATCATTAGTAATTTGATCCTAACATTTCAAAACGCCAAGTACATCCAAATTATATTACCTATCAACCTCAATCCTTTTGAATAATAGAGTTAAATTAAGCGCAAATATATTCTTTGAATGATGAACCAGGGAGATAGATTTGTTAGCCCCCGCACCCCACCTCACTATAGTCCCTCCTCCCTCCCTCCCCATTCTCGAAGGAAAACCTCCAACAATCCCTCTTTCCCCTCTACAGAGCTCCTTCCTACGAAGGCAAGCAGAAAAGAAAAATTGGTGATAGTGATAACAATAAAATAAGGCAAGCTTTCGCATTATGCTGTTTCCAATGAGAAAATTTTCCATTAAGAATGAAAATGTAAACATCATTTTAGGTGCCTTAAAAGTGCCATTGTCACTAGAGAGTCACCATCCGAAGATTGAGACCAGAGATTGACAATAGTGTAAAGTGCACAAACAAATGACTCCATAAATGTGGGCCATTCTAGCAAGTCCTAAATTAAAATACAGAATTTATGCTACAATAGGTCAAGTACAGAAGACCTCATTTAAATTGAAAGGCAAAGCAATCCAATCCATCTCTCTCTCTCTCTCTCTCTCTCTCTCTCAAAGAATCCACCTTGAAGATGGAGAAAAGGCTTCAAATATTGATAGGTTGGGTGGGTCTAGACAGTTGAGATGATTAGTTTAGTGCCAAACTTAAGATCAGTTCTTGTACTTCAATAAGATATAGAAAGTCACCGGACCATTTGCAAAAATAGGTCTATGAGCATCTCGAACATTTCCAAGGAGGGGCAGAACTCTGGAAAGCACATCTTTTAGTCGCGGTGTGAACTGTAATGCTTTAATGAAGAGTAAAATCACAAAAATCATGTTATCCAAGTTGGAAAATAGCAGTAAAGCAAACATAGAGTTCTGAAATTACAAAAAAAATAATAATAATAATAAATAAATAAAATGCTGTTTGTTTACAAACCATCAGAAGAAGCAAAATCTGCTAGAATTTGAACCATAGCTGGCAAAGCTGAACTAGGCCCTCCCAAATGAAGATATATTTCTTCCATCATCTTCCACACCGCCATAAAGGAGAATAGTTATTGCAATATCAATAAATAATTCACTGAACTACGGTTGACAGAGTACACACACACATTCAAACACACGAACATATTTGTACAAAGATATGTTGTAGTTATATGGCTTTTGTCAGACCTTATGCTGGAAGCACGAAATTATAAAATTATTTGGCAGATATTAAATTATTGATCACTAGGAAACTTGGAGCCTAGAGCAACATAAAATAACAACCAGAAAGGGTTAATAAAATTTCAATCATTTCATTGACTTCCATGAGGAAACTTCTGTAACCAATTAAGAAAGAGAGCAAGAAGAGGAGAGGAATTTATAGAAGTAACTGCATGCTTGACTGTATTTTCACATAAGAAGTATGCTTGACCGATTCTTTCAAATCCTTTTTCGTCAATGTCCTCTTTACCATAAGTTAGAATGTTAGTCTAGTCATGTAATAATATGTAGCTACATAATATTGAATGCAAGTGTTTATGCTAAATACATGTTCTCCTGCTCTTATTTCCCTCGAAATTCATAAACAACATGAATTATAACAAACTTACTAGGTCAGGCAAATGTGAGCCTATCGAAACAAGAAGCCCTGCAGCAGCTTTTTGCCACTCAGTATTAAGTTCCTACATCATCGACAATAAAAATAAGAACTAGCAACAAAAGAAGGCATTCTAGAACATTGAGCAAATTAACATCGGTACCAATAATTCTGGAGATTTGAATTCTGGTGGGAAGAGAAAGAAATAACCGTGGTAAAGGAGGAAATAGTAACTCCAATAATAATAATGGGCCCAATGCCAATTATATGGAGAATTGGACAAATTGTACTGAAATGTTATCTTAGATTTGATCCCACATTTCACAGAGTTAACTCTAATTTCACTTTTCCCTCTAATCCCATAGAATTCAGATATGCCAGCTATGATGGTTTCACCTAACCGTAATGTTCATACTAATTGGTATCTTGATTTCGTAGCAACAAACTATGTGACAAATGATCTTTTGGATCTCGCTGTCTGTTCTCCTTGTCGATCAGATAATCAAGTACATGTGAACAATGGAGCAGGTTTGTCCACTGCTAATATTGGATCTTCTCATTTTTTTCACCTATAATCATTCCTTTATTATCAAAAATCTACTCCATGTTTCTCAAATAACCGAAAGTTTGATTAGTGTTAGTCAATATATATATATAAAAATATATACATAAGATAGAACAAAGCGCTGCGAAGGAAAAAATGGAAGTATCATAAACTATGAGATGACGTGCCAACCTTGCAATTGCAAAGTTACAGTAGTCATACCTCCTAATTCAAAGTACTAGTCCCCGAATTGAAGCTTCTATTTCAGAAATTAATATATTTACAAGCCAAATAAAATATCATTTTCTTTTTCGGAAATAACTCATGGCTTGAAATTTCTAACGATCCTTAATGTAACAACCAAAAAAATAGAAATAAAAAAAGAAACCGAACAAGAACTATAGTATGAAAAAGACCTTGGAAGAGATTATCTCAGTCGTTGAAATCTTTGCAAGCTTAGACATGAAAGCTGGATCAACATCTTCTTTGTCTAAGGCTCGCACTCCGAATGACATTACTAGAAAAGCCCCGGCCATGTTTCCGAAACGCTGAAAATGACCACCAACTTTTTAAACGCATTTTCAATGAAGAAAAACGAAACAAAACTATGAACTACAGTCATGATTCCTATGAAGCATGACGAAGAAGTAAATACTGTAATTACCCGGCGTCCTCCTCGTGAAACAGCATAGCAGCAGTCGAGAACCAAAAGAGGACTCCTGATATTGCAACAGAAGTTCCAATTCACAACTTACTATAAATGAAAGCAGACTCAAATAGCTAAAGACAACAAGTGAGAAAGAATACAATGCAGCTATGTCCTTGAGCGAAGCCATGGATGCCTCCCTCACCACGGAAGATTCATCAGCAAGAGATGAGACTAAAATCTGAACAGCCTCTGCAGAATTAGTGAACACGCACACGCACACGCACACAAAATGATCAAAACCGAGCTTCCATAAGACATGAATGATCGTTATATCCATTCAAAAGTTGGAACAATAAAAAAAGATTGATTGAAATTACGACATATACAAAAAGTAAAGGAACCTGGTGCAGGAATTGAGTTTCCGGAGCCCGACGACGCCATGGCAGGAAGGAAATAACAGCAACAGAATAGAGAGGTTCCCACACAGCGATCCTATTGCTTGGTTAAATTTCCATGGCGAATTTGCAGGGATAGGAAGAGATGAGCAATTCTCAAGTTTCAACGGCCGTGGATCAAAATTTCTTTCGTCGTGAATTGTTCTCGTTTTTATAAACATCACCAGAAAATTCCACTTCGATTTCTTTCTGGCACACTATGAACTAACGGGGGCATGAGGGATTTGATCTGCACAAATGACCCCTCCAAATTAACCTTACAAACGTCAATAATACATGATCCCAAAAGAAGTAATAAAAAACCGTGGCAAAATATATAAAATATAATTATTAAGTCTAATGGGTTTCTCTAATTAAAACATAACTCATAAAGTAATTATATTTCACTTCTAAATTATCTTAATTCTTAATTCTTAACTACAACCCCATTTTTACTTAATTTATTTTAATTAAATAGTCATATTCAGAGTTTGAATTAAGAAGTTGTATTCTTCCAAATAATAACGTGCCAATTATATATAAATACATAAATTATAATTGAGAATAAATAAATAAATAAAATAATAAATACATAATAGGACGGGGACCGGGACTGGGACGAGAAAGCTTTTCCATCACGAGCCATGGATATTTTACCAGTTTGGCCTCAATTTTTTTAATTATAAACAAATTTGATTACTTATTAGGAACTTCGAATTTTTGAAACTCAATTTATAAATGTTATAGAGTTTATCCTATTCTGTCGTTTATTATATAGCGTAAATGAAAATCTAAAGATGTTCAAACATCAGTTGGTCGTCACATAAACAACAAAGATAAAAGGCTCACATTGACCATCAAACCAATAAGCTTGCAAGCTGGAGGCTTTGGTCCATTACAGAAAAATATTTTGTCGGGATTAATGAAATTAAATTTGGTTAAATTTATGGAGTTTTTTGGTCCAAAATAGTGAATTTATTTTAATTTTAGGAATTATTGGATAAATAAATACAAGGAGAAGGTGGAAAATGGTAAAGGGACAGAATTGAGGTGAACTGATCCCATTGTCCATATACAAATTTTGGAGGCAAAAAAACATGTCACGCCTACACAAACCCCTCACGAATCTCACTTATTTGTATCCAACAAAAACTAGCTTTCAGAATTAGAAGAAATATTTTTTAATTATTTATCGACACCAGATATATCCGTTCGTTGCTTTTTTTTGTTATGTGAGCTGTCTTCACATCCGTGAGACATTTGGATAATTAATGCAGACATGAGGTGACGTGGCCGTATCTCAAATACTAATTACATAAGACCTTCCCACTTGGGCTGGGCCTTTTGCTATAGTTACGTCGGGCCCAATAGTTCATATAGCCCACTCGGTCCAACAGGTGGCAACGTAAGTACTTAAAACGACACACATTTTAACCTTACAAATTTAGTTAATTAACTTAATAATAATAATTACTATAATTCTGTAGTGTTGATTGAAAATAAAATACATAATATCTTTCTATATTAATTATTAAAAACTATTTAAATTCAAATTTTTAGAAATTATAATCATTAGGTTGAAAACTATATTTATAGGAATTCAAATTTTTTGAATTAAAAAAAAGGAAAAAGAATAAACGATTGGCTCCAGCCTTGCACGTAAAGATACTTGTTTGAGCATCGTAAGCGTAACTATAAGCCTGGGGGCATTGATCCTTGAACATCTTCGAATAATCTGTGGGTGGGCAAGCTTGTGGCTGATTGTGGTCGCCGCTGCAACAAAATTCCGGCTGATTGAAAGCCATACAAGCACTTTTACACGCGATCACTGCACCATCTTGTCCTCTGATGGCTAATTCCGGTGCACAAATTGCATTTACATTTCCTGCACAAACTACCGCTTGGCACTCACTGGTTCCGCCCATTGGCGTCACCGAAACAGGCAAATTAAAGCCATCAACCAGGCTGATGTCGAAGTAATCTACGCCACCGGTTGGCGCTATAGTGAATTCAACAAGGCTTGCAGGCGGAATTGCGCCGGCGCCATTGCATGCCACTTGGCCGCTGCCACAATCAGCGGTTCCGCAATTGAACTTCCCACTCGCGTCTATGGAGCAAAGGGTTCGAGATTTTATGTACGTATTTATAATTATAAAAGGAATTATTAGTATTTATATGGCATAGATTTTATGTACGTATTACAAAAAAAAATATTTTGGCATGGATTATTTCATATAACTGATTTTGAGAAAAGGAGAAATATATAATAAGTTTATTTTATTGCATGAAATATGACTGATTTTGCATTTTTTTTTTTGTCTCCAATATATTCAATATTTTTTTAAAATAGTGAATTTATTTATGGGAGACATGAAATTAAAATTTATAATTAATAAGATTTTGAATATGTATTCAATAAATTTGTTAATTCTTAAAAAAAAAAAATTAATATGATAGATATAAAATAAAAAATAGGCATATTGTTATAAATTTATTAGAAATGTGGTAGAAATTCATGAGACATTTGACTTGCAGGGGTGCACATCATAAATTGAGGCTCTTGAAGAATTAGTCACTGTGGGGTTGTTCTACTTAAAGTTCTTGCCTTCGAAGGTCTGACCAAACTGCCAATTGACGGGAGCAACATGCCATGCAGTGGAGAATCTGCCATCGCTAGCTCGAACCCTGAAGGTGAGCGACTCGCCAACCATCATGGCGTTGGTGGTCCATTTTTGACCCCACAGACGAGACATGGCGGTCCATTTCAGCTTACGGTGGCCCTTGACTTGGACAGCCGTTATGTCCCCAGCTCCTCCAACGTTCCACACCATTACTTCGTTGAAGTATGGGTTTCCGGTGATTGTGAAGCGAATTCCTCCTTGCTTTTGGCATGGAACCCTGCGATAAGTGATGGGAATGACACCGGCCTTGTAGTCTGCAAGGTTGGCGAAAACAGGCTTGGCTATGTCGAAATGCTCGTGGGGGGGATTGCACCATCCGCCGTTGTCGTTGGCAGCGTTGTAGTTGGGTGGACAGTGGTTGGTGCCGGTTACCACGAGGGAAGGCTGCCCAGGCTTGCAATCAGGATTGTCCATGCATTTGAGTTCAAAGCAAGCACCGCATTTCTGCCCGTTGTTAAACAGCGCCATGCTTAATGCCGCCGTCTGCAGCCCATACCCTTCCTTTTCCACGTCGCTGTACCCACATGCACTACCTACACGTACATATATGTAACTCCATTGTATTACCACTCCAGTTAGAAAAATACTGTGTCCACAATTATATAATATTGAAAAGCCTCCGAGAGTATTATTTAATTATAATATTTTTTAAATTAGTCATCATATAATAGAGAGAATATTATTTGATTATAACATTTAAATTAGCATAAACTTTCATCATTCTTATTGCTATATAATACAGGGATGCCATTTAATTATAAGAAAGGGAAAATAAAATTATTAGGCTTACCAAAGGTTCCAGGGCCACCTTCGTAGAAGGTAGCACGAGCGCGTTTCCAAGGGCCGGGCTTAAACGGCGGCCTGTTATGCTTTTTAACAAGCCGCGCGCCTAATTCCCTGTGCGCTTTCGCATAAGGGCGATGCCCCATCGAGGCCGCGGCGTGTGCATGAGCCATAATAAGCAACACCAGGCTTAGCAGAGATGCCAACAGGCATGTCGATGGGAAGGATGGCTTCGTCATTGGCACCTCAACAAAAGCCAACAATATTTTTTATGGGTATAGCCTCGATGTTTTCTTTCCTTTTCATTTCTTTTCTTTTATAATGGTTCCAATGAATTCAAATTGGTCGTGGTTTCTAAATTTAAGGTGGTTCGTAATATCCTAAGTTTGGTTTTTTGTTGATTTTGGTAAGAGGATGGGAGTGAATTCAGGAATTAAATAAGGAAATTTTGACAATTATTTCTATTCTTTTAACGAGTTAGAAACATGAAAACTTTGATGATATATATGTTTTAAAAAAAAATATAGAAACACAAATGTTTTTTTTAGTTGAAGTAAAGGTTAATAGATATATAATATATGTAATACAAAAGCAAATTTGATAATAGTAATCAAAATAAGTTTCAATTTAGTCCCTAAAACTTTGAGTTTTTTTTTTTTTTTTTTTAGTACTTCAATTTTTAAAATTACAAATTTGATCCTCAAATTTGTAATATTTTTTTATTTAGCTAGACATAAAATTTTAACTTTAAAATTCTTAAAAAAATTTAAGATTTTAAATTCATTAGAGATATGTGAGATACAAATTTATTAGAATTATGGGAACATAATTGACTTTTTTTAACAGATTTAGACTAAAGTTGACCTAAAAGTTTGACTACACTTATAATTTAATAACGAAAAATTAATAAATATAGAATATCATGAACGTGGACATAACTGTTCAAGCAAGGATTAAGGAAATACAATTTTTATAGTAAAAATGTAAATCTTATTTTTAAAATAGTGAGATACTTATTTATTAATTTAAAACATGAATGTATTATTATTATTTTAAAACAGTAAGCTCGAAAACGTTTTTAAAAAAACTAGAATGTCAAACTAAATCTAATTATCAGGCCTCGTTTAATTTTAAATTAAAAAAAAAAAAGTTAAAACACTATATTTCTCTGTTTTATTACTTAGTATTTTAAAAACCAAATCAATTTTTGTAATTATTTTCCCTTTGTATTTTTACTAAGAATTCAAATATTTAATTAATTGTAAAAAAAAACATAAAAAAACGGGACATATTTTTTTTAGTTAAAAATAAAGATGCCTTATATTTTAATCTCATCTATATAAAGTACTCAATTCAAGAATTGATTCTATTTATGCCAGGATAAAAAAAGGGAATCGATTCTATTTATTTAAATTATATTTTATAAAAAGGTTAGATCCATTTATTTCAGAAGAAAAAAGAAGAATTGATTCTCTCTCCAAAAAAAGATAATTACTTGCTAAATTAGTTAAAATCGGAATGAAATCTAAATGTTATTCTTTTCATATTATATATATATATTATATATATATATATATGCACACACACAGACAAAGCAATCTATTATTATAAGTTATTTCTAACTATAAAATACCAAAATACATATTAGATAAGCAATAATGAAATATATATCCAAATTATTCATTTCATATAAATAAATAATTACTTGATAACTTTGTATCCGACAAATCGAAACCAATTTTATTTGTATGTTATATTTAATACTAATTATTCATTAAACAAATATCGTATAAGCACTAAGCAAGAGCTATAAAACTATACGTATTTTTCTTAAGAGTCGGTAGGTTGACTCGACAAATATAATTCGAAAAAAAATGTCAAACCGCGAACCAATCTGAATTTTTTTGTTCTGAATTTTGATGGGTCGAATTATATATGAAGTTTAAATATTATTGCTGACTAGAAAAAGTACGAATATAAAATAATTAATGAAAATGTGATGAACACTTTCAACCGGTTGTTATTTGCTGACTGGATTAAAAAGTAAACGGTTCTTAGTTGAAAAGAGGAAAAATAAAGAATCGATTCTGGTTTTTGTTTTTTAATTGAAATAAAAAAGAAAAAAGAAAAAAGAAAAACGGGAATCGTGTCCCCGCCAAATTTAAATTGGAGAGGAAATGTTAAGGGTCTGTCATTCGCGCTACTTCAGAGCTTGGTGGGCGTAGGGAGAAGTGAAAGAGACCGCCGGACGAAGGAAAGAAGATGGATTTCAGTGTTCTGAAGAAAGAGGCGGACGAAGCCGTGCTGGTTGACGCTCATGCCCACAACGATGCCAAGCTTGTCCGGATTATTTGGGTCGATGGTTCGGGACAACATCGATGTCGTGTAAGATTTATTTATTTATTATTACACACTTTTCAAATTTGAATTTAATTTTTATTTAGTATCGAGTTTTTAAATGTTAGATTATGTTATAATTATTCAGGCTGTTCCATTTAAGCGGTTCGATGATGTCGCTAAAAGAGATGGGATTGGGCTGCCTTTTGCCGTTATGGCAGCGAGTTCTTGTAATGATTGCCCAGCTGCTGGGAGTAATCTTAGCAGTGTGGGCGAGATGAGACTGATCCCAGATTTATCAACCAAACGGACGGTTCCTTGGTATGTAGCTTTCAACTCTTCTAGCTACTTTTCCTTCTACCATGTAAAAATTATCTCTGTTCGTTCAAGTAGGGAATTGATTAGTCATACCATGAGAGGAAGGACTCGATAATGACATGTCTTACAATTTACTTGTTTGTACGTGTTGGGTATGCCCAGATTTGTATTTTTACCGACTCAATGTCACTGCTAACCAACTTAATTAGTTTAGTTCATTAAACCCTTGAGAAGTTCAGTTCATTGTGATCAAATTATGCAGATATTTGCATTTTTACAGACCACCTCTAAACTCAATAGGCACATTTTATGTGAGTTGAGTTGAGTTAGGTATGGGAAGCATTTGGTAGTGTAATTGGGATTTTGTACAACGGACTATTTGTCCTTAGAGTCCAATTTTTAAGTCTCTTGGGCCCACGTTCTATTAGGAACCGGCCCTCTACAATGGTATGATGTTGTCTACTTTTGTGGATTTACTTTTGGTTTTCTCAAAAGGCCTCGTATCAATGGAGATACTTTTTCTTAACTTATAAACCGGTAATTTTTCGTTTAATTAGTCAATATGAACTACTCCTAATAATCCAAAAGTAGATCGAAACATACCTATTCCATTGATTTCTTGAACAGGAACAAGCAGGAGGAGATGGTGATGGGCGATATGCAGCTTAGACCTGGTGAAGCCTGGGAGTACTGTCCAAGGGAAGCCTTACGAAGGGTGTCTAGAATCCTGAAAGATGAATTTAACCTGGTAGGGAAGATCGGTCAAGTCTTATGATGAGCAGATGATCTAGAAAATATTTTTACTGTGTTAAATGGCTGTCTTGAATCCAGGTAATGAAAGCAGGGTTTGAAATTGAGTTCTTACTATTAAAAAAGGCAGTTAGGTAAGGATATACTATTCTCTTCTGTTCTCTATGGCCTTAATTCATTTCAAATTGCTAATTTCTATTGCTTTATTTAATTTGAGTTTCGTAGAGATGGGAAGGAAGATTGGGTGCTGTTTGATTCAACGC